ACTGTATGCAGGAGCGATCTTAATATCTTAAATATCTTAATTTGTGTTCTGAAGATGAACGAAGGTCTTACGGGGTTGGAACAACATGAGGGTGAGTAAATACTGACAGAATTTTCATTTTTGGGTGAACTAACCCTTTAAGGGTTTCCTGTTAGAACGGTGTCGTGTTGGCGGCCCCTACGCTAATAACTAATGATCTTTGAAAGTGAATCAATCAAAACTAACTTTAGCAGGACAATAACTTTATTCTAGAGCTGTCACAAAGCCAAACAATCTGTTACTTTAATTTCCTAGTATCACTGTAAAGCTGCTTTGAAACTATCTATACTGTTAAAAGCCCTATATGAATGAAAATGACTTGACTTGAATCAGGTCCCAAATCTGCGCAAGATGTCAGCGCCAGATCAGGACTTTGGCAGCTTCACTTTTCATCAATGGAAGAGAGTGAAGGGGCGTCGTCCATCTTTTATTACAGTCTATGGTCTGACACCTTTAAACCTCCGTGAAGGCCTTATTCATGTAGTTGCTAAGCTATCAAAGACCTGCCTGGAATTGTTTCGCTCGCTCTTCTGTGATGAGCCTGTCTTTTCTCAGGAACGAGAAATGAGATTCCAGTGAGCAGAAGTGTGGCGTGTCTCCAGTTTGACGCTGATCTGTATCTGACGGACAGGTCAGGTAGTTTTAGGAGTCTACCAGCAATTACCGGCCTGTCCAGGTGAGCTGAAGTGCTGTGGAATTAGACGATGATATCCGGTGTAATCACACACACACACACACACACACACGAATGCACCCACATCAATGCCCACTCAACTTCCCACTGAGAAAAAGACAGAGACAGAACAGAGGTGAGCAGACAATGTCGGACAAGTTTTTAAGAACTCTATAATCACCAGAAATATGAAACACACTTCACACCACGGAGTCTATTGGGTCGATCACCGACTCTTTTACCTGCTTGGGTGTTTGTGCAACTCTGAAAGCAAATGAAACCACACATTAAATTGCTTTAATTTCTCAGTCGTTTCTCTTAAAGGAGAACTCCGGCGAACAATGAACCTTTGGTCTAATAAAACATCGGTACCTAGTCAATCGTTCTCTGAGTTTTGTTTTCATGATAATCGAATGTAAAGAGTTTTATCTCTAAAAAACTGTTTAGCGTATAATGCTAGTAATGGGGGCATTGACTAAGTAAAAAGAAATCGCTAGTTTATACCACTAACAAGGCTCAAAATAGCCACACACTAACGCAGTAACATAATGAGGGTCCATACATGCAAAACAAAGCATTGAGAACTTTGTAAGTGTACAGACCGTTTAATAAGAAGATACTTTATGAAGACAGTTCACTTCGTGTATACAGACAGGAGCCATCTTAGGAAATAAGTCTCGATAAGTCAAACCAAGAACGTCGTGCTGAGTGATCTGAACTGTATGAAGTTCAGCGAACTTCTGTACTGTATGATCGGCATTCGGGGATCGACTTATCGAGACTATTTCCTAAGATGGCTCCTGTCTGTATACGCGAAGTGAACTGTCTTCATAAAGTATCTTCTTATTAAACGGTCTGTACACTTACAAAGTTCTCAATGCTTCGTTTTGCATGTAGGAACCATCATTATGTTACTGTGTTAGTGTGGGGCTATTTTGGGGCTTGTTAGTGGTATAAACTAGCGATTTCTTTTTTACTTAGTCAATGCCCCCATTGCTAGCGTTATAGGCTAAACAGTTTTTAGAGATAAAACTCTTTACACTTGATTATCATGAAAACAAATCTCAGAGAACGATTGACTAGGTACCGATGTTTTATTAGACCAAAGGTTCATTGTTCGCCGGAGTTCTCCTTTAAGACACAATTAAATGGAGTTTAAATTCTGTCGTTATTTACTCACCCTCGTGTTGTTCCAAAATGGTATATTGCACTTTCTTTTCCACATCTGTCATGATGCTATATTTCAAGTCTTCTGAAGCCATCCAGTGGTGTTGAAACTTAAAATTATGGAGCTCTCTAATCAAATTTGCGCAGGTTTGATGTCATTAGCATCAAACGTCATTGCTCGAAGATCTCGTGCTTGGATGGATGGATGGAACAGAAGAATGACAGACAGAATGATAGATAGAACAAATGATAGACAGAGCTCATAGAGAGAACGATGGATAGATGGGTGGATGGAATAAACAGAACATCTGAACAGAAGAATGATAGGATGACAACGATAGACAGAAGCAACAAACATCATTGGTTCTCAAGGATCGTGCTGAAACATCATGACGCCAAAGCTGCAACATATTTGATTTGAAAGCTGCAAACTGAGCAATAACAACTAGAATGATGGACAGAACAATAAAACGACAAAATAATGAGATAGAATGACAGACAACAATAAAATGACAGACTGAAGAACGATAGAACGAGCACGATAAACACAACAACAGATAGAGAACAATAGACAGGACAAACGCAAGGACTGTAAAGAAGAATGGCAGAGAATGATAGATAGAACTAATGATAGACAACACGACAGATAGAGAGAGAACAATGGGCAGATAGATGGATAAAACAATAGACAGAACAACCGAAGGCAAGAATGATGGGTGAGAACGATAGACAGAGCGACGGCTAGAAAGAACGATGGACAGAACGACAGACAAAGAGAGAAAAGAGAGGCATTACATAAGACAGAGACAAATCAAACTTCTCTTTAACTTCTTAACTGTTGCTTTTTTACACAAAAGAGAATAAAGTGAAAATTTGTCATTTTGTTGTCATTATCTCAAACTTTGCTTCGATTTGCGAAAATGGTCAAATATGCAATTAAAAATGTAAAGATCTCAATGAAGATCACTGAAGTCAAAGATTTCTCAGATTCTTCCAATACTAAATGATCAGAGGTTCATTATTTTTTACTTCTCCTATAAATGTTTAGGAGCAACATCTAAAGTTCATGCATTATAGTTCAAGTTTACACTATGAACACCATTAAAGTCACCCGAGATATGAAAGAGCAACTATTGAGCAATTACAAACTCCTCTGGGAAGAGACAGTAACATAATACAAGAGAAAAGAGAATATCACAAATTAAATCTCAATGGTTTCTACTAGACAAATATGAGATTAAATGGAGAGTAAATGGAAATACTGAAGTCTCCTCCTCCTTAGATGTTTCTCCTGCTACAAAAACGTTCTCCTCCCGAGTTTCAGAAGAGGTCTCACCAATTTCTCGAACTGTGCTCAGATCTGCCTTGATACCAAAACCTGCCATCAAAAGTCCTAGATTTCAATATAAACTCTCTCAAAATCAGATTATGAGCTGCCATCTTTCCACCTAAAACAGATTTAAGAGAAACATCTGAGATGATTCTGAGACATAATAACTGAGAACTCTATTACAGCGTTTGTATAGATACCAGACTGATCTCATGAAGTAGCGTGTGTATGACACACCAATTCGTATTTCCATTTTTGGCGTGCTATCAAGACGCATAATCGCCTTTCAGCGTGTTTATGAACGCCGTTGACTTAACGTTATATAAATATATGACTTACCTCAACCCCGTCCCTAAACCTAACCGTCACTGGGGTTAATGGCATTTATGACTGTTCCCTCACCATCCTAGGTAAAAAAAAGATATGACTTACCTCAACCCTGTCCCTAAACTTAACCGTCACTGGGGTTAATGGCATTTATGACTGGAGATTTGACTGCGTGTTCAGACACGCGGAATGACGCGGACGTTAATGGCGTAGACATATACGCATACACGCGGATAGCTCAAAATGCGTGGAGATAACACGCCACCTGACTCGAAAGTGGCGTATATGTTTACGCATGATGTCATGTTGTAGATACTGTAAAATGAAATTCCAGGACTTTCAAGTACTTTTCAAGCACTACTTTTTTGGTTTTCAAGGACTTCAATTAAAGATCTCACTTTTCAAACAATATTCTTTCAAAATCTAAAAAAGGTAAAGGTAAACAAAATGAATCAAAATGGTACAAATAAAGTGCAGCAGATGCAAAATAACTGCGGTTACTTTGACCATTGAAAGGATACTATGAACAAAAATAATCGCTTTCCTTTTTCAAACTGATATCCAGCTCTAGAAACACTGAAATTAACACTCTCTTCAAAGTCTCTGTTGTTTCCGCAAGATTTTACTGAGGCTTTTTTCTCCTGAAACAAAAAACCCCAGTAATCTCATGTCCACGTAGTTGTCAAAAAATACCAAAGTGTACAAATCAAAAATTAAGATCTCAACTCAAACATTTCTCATCAACAAGAGATCTGAGGAGCTCCACATCAATTTTATTTCTCTATACTCTTACTGGATGACAACTAGCGACTCTAAAGGTATGTTTAAACGACAACGATATGCTTAAAACTGAGAAGTTTTTCCTTTGAATTTTCCACGTAGCGATGACACCATTTTCAAAACGATCACCATTCACACAGATCCAAGAAAACGACTAAAAAACCCAGTTCTGCTGCCAGGCCACTAGATGGCGATGAAACACTATAGACTGAACACTTAATAAGCATGGGCATGACGTCATCCTCTTCAAAGATTCACGTTTTTGTGGATTAAACTGAGAACATTTTCAAAAACTTGCACTTTAAAAACACGTTTTCAAAAGTTTGCGTTTTCAGGCACCTAAAACGCCATTGTCGTAACGACAACGAACGGCCAAAACGCATAGACCCTTTTACAGCCCATCATTGTGTACAAACCATAAAAGAGTCTATACAAAGTTTTACGTTTTTAGTTAAAAATGGTGTGTGGTGTAAACAGACCCTAAAAAAAAATAGCTGAGACAAAGTTGATACTTGAAACAAAGTTGAAACAAAACATAAGTTTCGAGAGCAATGATAGAGCAACATTTGAGCAGAGAAGAGTAGAGCTGAGCTTCATGAAACTGAATTTAGCAAAGGATCCCTTCAGGGGCCAAACCCACATCCACAAATACCTACTGTAAAGAGAGATGCTGAGAAAACGCACCTGCTTGAGAGAAGAGCTGCACCACAGCGGGAGATACACGCATATGCTTTTATATGAACAACACCCAAATCACTCGAGAGACTAGGATGATGGGGTTGTTCCCCCCTGAAAAAAAAGAAAGAAAAGAAATCACAACACAACACATCCTGAAATGAGGGGAGAAAGACACAACATCAAATCTGGAAGAACAGCAACTGGACAAACTGAGCCTGAATGTCTGCGGCTGGACCAGGGGGAGCAAATGAATGAATATTGATGAATATTTTGAACTAGATGCATCAGTGTTATGTTGAAACCAGACCCGTATACCTCTTATGAGACCAGCAGGTTTAAAGGGACAGCGTGGAGCCTATTTTTCTGACAAGGAACCGGCTTTTCTTCAATTAAAACTCTGGGGTTGACTAGTGGGATTGTCATGGTAAATAAAACATCTGTTACACTTACTGTACTACTTACCAAGAGCGATACATTCTCTATTGGACAACAGGGATATCTGTCCTGTTAATAACAGAGGTTAGTTTGCAAAAAAAACATTGTTCTGTCTCAGATATGTCACAATTAATTAAAAAAACGTCTCATGTCCTACTATCACTGTGGGACTTATCTAATTAATAGATAGACAATGACAGACTAATCATCATCATCAAGTCTGTAGTTCATCAATAATTGGTTCTCCATACAGAGGTAGGCAAAGAGTGGGAAACATTGCGTGTAATTTATAAGGAAATTGCGACCTCCGGTGGTGGAAGAAGGAAATGCGTCCAGACAACTGCAGGATTGTTATGAATAAACAGCAAAAAGCGTCAGGAGAGCTCAGTGAGGCGAATACAACATTGTGAAAGTATGTGAGAAATAAATAAGAAGTGAACAGTTGTTTTGAAGAATAAAAAAGAAACACAAACCTGGAAGGTGAATATTAAGGCCTGTCAGAGATTAAGCCTTAATATGTCAGAGATTAGGCCTAATAGGCTAGGGCTTGGGCGTCGTATTGCATTCTGAGACGTGGTGGCCATGTTGACAGATTCGGAAATGTAAACACACCAGCAAGTCAAACGAGGAGAAACAGCTGAGTTGGGAGAAAGAAAATAAAAAAAGATGTTAAAATCCGTAAAAGGATGCTGAATTTACCGGGATACGATTCATATGTTAACCAGGGACCGGTATGTGGATAAAACGGCACTTTTAAAGGGTTGGATTCATTTGAAATTTCCATCAAACAGTGGGAGCACGTGGGGGTTACTTTATGCTAACTTAATCCGGACAAAGGTAACGTTAACAGAGACTAACAGGTCCGATGGAAGGGCTATGTTATGAGAATATTAAAATACGGGATATTTTACAGGAAAATACTAAAACGGTAATACGGCGGGAAAAGAGCTCAAGTAGCTACGTGAGAAACCCGGAAGAAAACGTTAGGTTTGTCAGCTAACGTTACTACACTTTTGAAACACATAGTTAAAAGTACATGTGTGAATGATTGTTAGTTACTAAACTAGAAGCTAACGTGAAGTGGAGCGCATCTTAACGTTACCTTTGTCCGGATTACTGTTCCCACTGTTTGCCGACTCTTTGTTGGAAATTTCATATGGATCCAAACCGTAAAAGTGCCGTTTTAGTCCACATACCGGTCACTGGCTTCCCTGTTTAACATATCCCGGTAAATTCCAGAACCTTTTAGCGATTTTAATATCTTTTTTTCTTTTCTTTATCCCAAAGTATGCTGCATCTCCTCGTTCGACTTGCTGCTGGTATGTTTACATGCGCGAAGCTGCCAAAATGGCCGCCACCACGCCAATAATGACGCCCAAGCCCTATTTGGGCCTGTTCACTCCAAGAACAAACTTTGCTTTAACTCTAATATCAGTCAACACCACAACTATAACGACAGAGGAAATAGCTGGAATCACATTCATTGCGATCTTTTTTTAGCTTGAAAACGTTTAAAAACTTAGACCACCAAACAAATTCAAAATCTTAATTTTTAAAATTGAGCCGCGTTTATAGCCTACCACTGCACTGACTGAACGCGGCTTCGCGCTCCTTAGAACGTCCGTTGGTATGTGCACGCGCATTTACAACGGAAGTTCAAGAGGCAAGACTGGGATGAACAAACATTTAGTTTTTAATGTGTATGAGTGTGATTAAATTAGCTACGCTATCTTTTTTACCATTAAAGACGGTGTGACAAAATAAATAAATAAAATAATTAAATGTTAAACTGTGTATGCGCAACATACCAGACAGGAACGTCACACAGTGAATCTGTCAGTCCAAGGTTGTCTTCATCAATGTGTAAATGAATTCTGTAGAAAAATAAGTGATTTAACAAAAACACGAGCTGCGTTTTTCTGCTTTTACCTCACCATTGCCTTGTAGATTAACATTTAAGCACATTACTGTACACATCATAATTATATTCTGTGGTAATCAATGCCTTAATCTATATCTATGGCCCATAACCTGCTGTTAACATACCCTTGGTGACACTTAAGAGGTTAATACAGAACATTTCCCCACAAACCGTAGAAAACCAAAACTGCTTACAGCATTTTATGGATCTTGTATGTTTGTATTCAAAACTCCACTCCTAGATGAAGTCGTCCAAAAGGCATAATCAAAATTAATAAACCTCAGAGAACCTAACACAAGAGTCTGTCATTTAAAAGTTATGTTTTTCATTGAAAAAAGCCTATGAAAAACGTGTAGATAATTCCCACTGTAATAGAATTCACAGCAAACCAAACTTCATTTGAACAGCTATGATGAATATTAGATCAAAACCACTCAGCTAGTGAACACCGGGGCCGTCGACAAGATCAGACACATTCGGGTTTTGTGTAATAAATTGATACCAGTATCAGACATTGTTTAATTTCTCATGTCTTTGAGCTATATCACTTTCAGTTTATTTTTCAGAGGCGAAATCGGATTAGATGTCAAGATAGTGCTCGACATATGCATAAACGGCAAAGCAAACATGTCTTCCTGTTGGGAAGCACTTAATGACAGAGTAACCATCAAACCAGAGACATATGACATTAAATCACAAGCTTTGTTAGTTGATCGCACAATCTACTTTAGTGACAGCTTCATCAGTTCCCATTGGGGAAAAAATTATGATGCAGCCCTAGTCTTGAGTTACGATTAAACAAAGCACAGTCCTGCATCTGTCCCAGTGGTTTCTGTTATTATTTAACGCCAACTTAAATTACACGCTTCTAGTCTTGTTATGAATATTTCAGCAATTAAAGTTATTCAGAACAAGATAACTTTGAATCGACTTTTCAGCTGAACTCAATCTCTCTTATTTTAATCATGAATTTGGATGTTGAAATGTCATACTGCCTGGCCTACATTTTCTTCTCATCATAAGTAAAAAGGCAAAAACCATTTAATGTTGACTTCAAGACCTCAATATCCCAGTTGTGAAAGAGAAGATATTGGCCGATAGTCCTTTCATCTATCTTTTGTATTTTTCTCTCAGCTCGATATTAAACTTAAAACATCTTTTGTATCATGTTTAATACACAATTTAAAATCTTAATGGTCTGTAGCTGGAAGATGATACCCAATTATTTCAGCAAACTTTATAGATGTGTAATCAGCAGTCACATGACCAGAATAAACGATGATTAATAGTGTTATATGCCCAATATAAATAATATAGGCATTTGTGCTAATCCAACTATATGCATTTTAAAAGGTATATTTTATAGCTATAATGAAATTTATATTATATAGTCACCCTAATTTTTTTTTTCTAAAGAAAAAGGTCACACGACCAGAATAAACGATGATTAATAGTGTTATATATGTATGCCCAACATAAATAATTTAGGCATTTGTGCTAAACCAACTATTTTAAAAGGTATATTTTATTGCTATAATGAAATTTATACACTGTAAAAAAAATATTGATGGTTTAACTTAAAAAAGTAAGTAAGCCTTAAAATTTTAAGTTCATTGAACTGGAAAAAGTGAGTTAATACAATGAAGGAGATTAATTTAACCATCAGAAACTCAAAATAATAAGTTATCTCAACTAAATAAATTATTATAAAGTTGATTTGACAAAAGAAAATATGTTGTGATAACAAATCTTGAAAATATTTTTTACAGTGCATTCTATAGTCACCCTATTTTTTTTTTCTAAAGAAAAAGGTCACATGACCAGAATAAACGATGATTAATAGTGTTATATATGTATGCCCAACATAAATAATATAGGGATTTGTGCTAAACCAACTATATGCATTTTAAAAGGTATATTTTAAATTTATATTCTATAGTCACCCTAATTTTTTTTTTTTTCTAAAGAAAAAGGTGTTTGCACTAGTAATATTAAGGGGAGGGATACATCAAAAATATATAATAATGACAAATAATTATCCAGGTTTATGTTTATTTCCCTAAAATAATTAGAAAAGCCTAAGCGGATCAGCCATTTCATGTGCATAAAATAAAATTACGTGGAGAAAATGAAACGTATAAGTGCCTTTTTCACACACACACACCACTGCACTCGCACTGTTTACTCGCAAAAAAAGAAATTGATTCAAACTGAAGTGAAATTCACGAAAACAACAAACGTAATGTCTTTCTTCAGTGCTGAAAAGTTTCTGTTTCAGGATTAAATTAAAATGGCAAACATTCCAAAACAAATCTAAGGTAGTGTACTTTCCCACCACTTGTTTCCCATGGTCATGCCTGAAGCAGAATCGATAGCAGCGGGACAGATTTCACTTCTGATCGCAGTCAGTAACTCGGATTAATCTCCAGCTGCTTTAATCACACCCAGCTGGACTCCTAGCCAACATGGATTTTATGATATACGTTTTAAGTTCATAGCCGACTGGTTCTGTCTCCTGATAGGTTGGGTTGATGTAACCCTCAGCCCGAGTGATCGGCCATCAGTTCGCCTTGAGTCGTTTGACGGCTGCTTCTTGGTTGAGGTCATCTTGCTCTCTCTTGGCACCTCGGCTCGTCTCTTCTCCGTTAGACGAAGGCTCGCTGCTCTTCTTCATCTCTCTCCTTTCTCTCCTCTCCTCCATCTCTTCAATTTCCTCCGCAAACAATGCCTTCAGAGGCCGGATGAGGCGCGGAAGCATCTGGAAATCTCCAAATCGAATCTGAGAGCACAAGAAAACACAACATCAAACCTTACGTTTGATTCTCGATGACTAAAGACTAAATACTTAAGACTAAATCTAAAATATCTTAAACTGTGTTCTGAAGATGAACGGGCTTGGGACGACATGAGAGAGTTATTAATGACATAATCTTCATTTTTTGGGTGAACTATCCCTTTAAGTAACTAATGAAGTAAGAACAAAAGGAAGGCAGGTAGTTGTTGGTTATTTCCTCACCCTCATGTGGTCAAACGAGATTCCCACTTTGCTGTTGAAGTCGTCGCTGAAGAGAGGGATCTTGGCGTACCGCTGACTGAAGTGATTCAACACGATGAATTCGGCGTTCATCTTCATCCCCACGCCAATAGCCTGAGACGTGGTGCTGGAAACAGATCGGATTCAAACAGCCATCACCGACACAATCATGCAACTTCCTCGACTTAAAGCGATAGTTCACTTTGAAGTTAATTTTTGAAATTAATGTTTTATCTTACCTCAAGGGCATCCAAGATGTAGGTGTCTTTGTTTCCACAGTATTTTCAATTTTGATATTTTTAGGTCAAACCGTTCTTGTCTGTCAGTCATATAATGGAGGTGTATGGTCACCACCTCAAAGAGCATGCACAGAGAAGTCCAGATTAAACATGATTTAATGACTCATAAATGTAAGTACACATTGATGGCCTAAGACACGAAACGAGCGGTTTGTGTGAGAAAACGAATCGTTTTTACCACAGCCATGTCCAACTGATCTGAGGGCGCTTCGGTCTGCATAAGCCCCGGAAGTGATCTCTCGCGCGGTTGCGAAAAATTCAACGTTGTCTGTTGATATATCGAAATAGTCTTCCATTGCGATTTTCTTGTATATCTAAATATGTTTAGATCTTCACCGTGAAGGATTACACTTCTGAGATCTCTGTGTACACAATGAGTGACGTACACTTGCGAGAGAGAGATCACTTCCGGCTAGGGTGACCACCCGTCCCGTTTTGCGTTGTACCGCACAGCATTTTCACCTCTTGTCCCGCACGTCGCATATTGAGGAAATGTCCCGCATTTTCATCGGTCTATTAGTTTTTAATATCACATTAAGAAAACGTGAATGTGTTCTTTTGCTGCGTAGTTTTCAGCGCTTCGTCATTAAGTACTAATACAACAGCTGTGTTGTTTTATACACAATGGTTAAAAAGAAAGGAGTAAACACGGTCACTCGTTGGTTGTGACGGCTGTCAATCAAAATAGGGACCGGTGATTCGTTTCATATATGTTCCCTGTCGGAAAACAAATGGATAATTCGGTAAATTAAAATGTTAATTTAATGGAATTTATCTGTTGTTGTTGGTTCTTTTAATTCACATCGTTTCTAAAAATATGAACCTTTTTGGTTTTTAGTATATTCTTAAAGGATTAGTTCACTTTTGAAAAAACTTTTGCTGATAATTTACTCACCCCCATGTCATCCAAGATGTCCATGTCTTTCTTTCTTCAGTCGAAAAGAAATTAAGGTTTTTGATGAAAACATTCCAGGATTTTTCTCCATATAATGGACTTCAATGGGAACCAGACAGTCCAAGGTCCAAAAGACAGTTAATAACAGTTTCAGATGCAGCTTCAAATGTCTTTAAACGATATCAGACGATGAATAAGGGTCTTATCATGCGAAACGATTGGTTATTTCAAAACTTATTCCAAAAATGTAACTTTTCTAAGGACAAATGCTAGCCTTGCTATATTCTGTGAGGCGCGTTTGTAACGTCACGTAATACGTAATTACGTTCAAAAGGTCACGGGCGACGTAGCCGGAAGTACAGAATCAAAATCGTCCGACATCGTTGTTTTACCTTTTAATTCCTTTTTTTGTAAACGGCGTTTGAGTTAGTTTGCACGTTCAACCTATGCGTTCAACTTGTAAACACTGACTCTGTACTTTCGGCTACGTCGCCCGTGACCTTTTGAACGTAATTACGTATTACGTGACGTTACAAACGCGCCTCACAGAATAGAGCAAGGCTAGCATTTGTCCTTAGAAAAGTTACATTTTTGGAATAAGTTTTGAAATAACCGATCGTTTCGCATGATAAGACCCTTATTCATCGTCTGGTGTCGTTTAAAGACATTTGAAGCTGCATCTGAAACTGTTATTAACTGTCGTTTGATACTTGAACCATCCGGTTCCCATTGAAGTCCATTATATGGAGAAAAATCCTGGAATGTTTTCATCAAAAACCTTAATTTCTTTTCGACTGAGGAAAGAAAGACATGGAGATCTTGGATGACACGGGGGTGAGTAAATTATCAGCAAAAGTTTTTTCAAAAGTGAACTACTCCTTTAATATTCAAGACTGTCTATCTAATTTCATGTTGTTTTATATTTTATTTGTTCATTGTTTATTTTGTTGGACTTGGTCAGAACTGTTTCTAAAATATTTATATACATGATTCCTGCTGCCTTTGGGCTCAGTGATGCTGAATTTAAATGACTTTTTTTTTTTTTTGGAAAAAAAAGAATTTTTTCTGGAAGGGACTAAACAACAAATAATTTTTATCAGCTGAAAGACAGAATATAAATGTTTCTATCAAGTTAGATAGATATTATATAACAGTTTCAGGGTATGTCCCACATTGTCCCACACAAACTTATAATTGTCCCACATTTGGTTTGTTTGATGGTGGTCACCCTACTTCCGGCGCATGCACAGACTGAATCAGATCACTTGGACGTGGCTGTGGCTACATGAGGTAAAAACTATATAAATACTGTTCGTTTTCTCACACAAACCGCTCGTTTCGTGTCTTAGGCCATCAATGTGTACTTACATTTACGAGTCATTAAATCATGTTTAATCTGGACTTCTCTGTGCATGCTCTTTGAGGTGGTGACCATAGACCCCCATTATATGACTGACAGACAACAACGGTTTGACCTAAAAATATAAAAATTAAATATACTGCGGAAACAAAGACACCTACATCTTGGATGCCCTTGAGGTAAGATAAAACATACCAAAAATTAATTTCAAAGTGAACTATACCTTTCAATCTACCCAGTAAATGGCATATAGAAAAGTCTGCACCATTCGAGTGCTGTAATACGGTTTCCCTCACCTTTCCCTTGTTTTCTAAAAAGCTCGAAAAACAAATCTGTGAATTTGTCCATTTCAGTGTATAAAGCTAAACACGGACTTGGACGACACTCTCCAGCCAATCAATACCTCACTGAAACCCAAATGATCCTCCCACAAAATCCCCAATCAATCGCAACTCCGAGATATTCAGCAGCTCGACTGGAAACGGCCCCAGGCGTGACATGAGGAGGACGACAACAAACCCAATCAATGCTCTGGGATTCTCCGTCAGGAACGCATTATCCTCCGGGAGAGCTGACCACTTTCATCGCAGAAGATTTTCTCTGTTTTTTAGCTCTCGAATCAAACGACAGCTTATCTTCTTGTCTCGCCCAATACAACCTCATTTCACTCGAGGCAAAAGCTGATAAGAGATGCTGATAAACACTTGCAATATTTATAGAAGAGAATTCATGCCAAGGTGAAATGCATTGATTGCATTGGAACAACGTAGATGGAAATTGTGCCACAATGAAAAGGAAATATCATCATAACTAATTCAAAAGTATTCCTGAAAGTCTCTTATTCTCAGCCAGGCTCAATTTATTTGATCATAAATACAGTAAAAACTATAATATTGTGAAATATAACTATATGTTAAACTGTAACTGCATTTCCAGCATCATTACTCCAGTCTTCAGTGTCACATGATCCTTCAGAAATCACTCTAATATGATGATTTGATGATCAAGAAACATGATTATTATCAGTGTTTAATTGTTTTTATGGAATACATAACGTTAGAAATGAGCTGCAAAAGTATATTTTGGACAATATCCCTGATGATTTCAGTCTGATCTGAACAGATTTATCACCTGACCGCTATATGAATCAGCCAATCTGATGCAACTATAAAGAGATGCTGTTATTGAAGGATTAGTAGTTAACCCTCTGATGGTCCTCGGTCACTTCTGAACGAATCATTTTCTGTTTTGAATTATTAAAAATCACAGCTTCATCGGAAAGTTATGATACTTGGTGAGTTTTCTGGCATTATGTATGTGAATACAAAAAAAAATTGAGGTCATGATCCGAGCATGCTAAGTGGTCGTAAAAAAATGAGTCACGATTTTGGTCTTTG